GAGGGGGAAAAAAAATTATGCATTTTGGGGCCCCCCAATTTTTTGCCCCCGCGCTTACTTTGGGGCCAACTTCTGAAAAACCCCCCCCCCCCCCCCATAAAAAAAAAACAGGGTGGAAATAAAATAGGGGGCCCCCATTTTTGGGCCCAAAAATTTTTTTGGGGGGCCCCCCCACCCCAAATTTTTTTTTGGTTTCCTGTGAAAGGGAAATCCTCCGCTGGCCGAAAAAAGTTGAAAAAAAAAAAAACGGGGTGGTTGGGGGGGGGGGGGGACCCAGAGATATGATGGCTTCCGTCCAATGAGCCACTTCTCTTACTCGAAAAGTGTTTGTGTGTTCGGTGGGTGACCAGACGTTAACATAACACCGTTACAGCCGATGTACCCAGGAAAATTCTCAAGAGTCTCCGGGATCGTAGCACGCACCGAGCAGGGGGGCCGTTTGGTGCACACGGCGGTCGGTGCAATACACAGAGCCTCCGCGGGGTTGGTATGTGTGTGATCCAATGATTTGGGAGCTACGAAGTCCCCGGTGCATTGGGTTCTCGTGGCTTACCTCTGCTCGGGCGCCGTGCACGTCAACAAGACTGATGCCCAGAAAGATGGAAGCTCGTCACATACATATCCGCACGGATCGGCTGTAAGGGTGTTAACTGTTAATGCCTGCTCACCCACCGACGAAAACACGAACAAAAGTCTCCATTCTCCGCGACCAAGCCGCAAACATGAGACACGAAACAGTTTTTTAATGTCAGCTTTTTCCCTCAACGAGCCCTTCGTCCCAGACAGAGCGAGACAACAAATTACCATCCGCAAAAACAAAAAAGTGACAATGCATACACGAGTTAATGTTGCGTCAGTTATTGCGCGTTGGTATCTCCTCGAGAAGGGCAAACAACAAAAAATCTTGGTCTGCTTTTACCTGTGGCCCAGGATGGCCTTGAGGTAGGACTGGTAGCGGCGGCGCTTGGCCTCCTCTTTGAAGATGGCCTGCCGCCTCTTCTCCCTCTCGGCAACCTTGACCTTTTTTTCGGGGCAAAACCAAACAACAAAACAAGAGTAGAAGTAAACAGGCATGAACACCAAATGCTCACGCTTTCATGACGCGCTCAACAAAAAATCCTCTACAGGGCGTGCTCGTTTGTTTCGCTTTCCGAGCTTCCCGCCTAGTACCTTGTCTGTCTACGCTACGGTGTCGCTCACAAACTAATAAGAGCAACGCTTCACACACACACACCCTAGGGATGCGAGGTCAGTGGTCTAACGGCTACCGCACGCTTTTCCATGAGAATCCCTCACCTCTCGTTGGGACTGTGCCCTGGTGCGGTAGAACGAGTGCCAGTCTAGCAGGGCCCCTGCCGCGAGAGGCTTCCGAGAAATTTCCCGGGAAATGTCCACCGCCTGCTTGCGGCATGACCGCTGAAGCCGCAAAACCTGCCACACGAGCAGGAAATTGACGGGGCAGAGGGCGGAGATCGTGTGGAGTCAAAAACTCGGTCTGTCTCTCGGTCTGTCTGTCTGTCCGGACAAGGCGCGGAGTACACACACTCGAAGCGCATCTTGAGTAAACCGTGGCCTGAAGAACATGCGGTGTGATCAAGTCAAAACACTGGGTGTTCGGTTCATGCGTGGCACGGAGTACACATACATGTTCGTGTATCGAAAGCGCGGAGAGCGCCTTTACAAGGACAAACACGCTAACAACACGAACAGAACACGCGCGAAGGTGCACCAAGGTGTGGACTAGTCAATATCAACAAAAAAAATCGCAACCAGCACTAACAACAACGTAAACGACGAGGGAGTGTAGGTTTTAGGAATATTTTCTCAGCAGGCTTTGAAGAATCGATCCATCACGTGCCACCCTAAGACCGGTAACGGTAATTATCCTCCGGACTAATCTCATAGGTCGCCGTGCGTGTGTCGGGAATGATTCCTCCATACTGGTGCCAAACATCTCATCCATGCTTGTACAAAAAATGGTCGAGAGTCGAGTCCAGCGACCCACACAGCCAATTTCACATCGATGCTCCTACAGTAGTAGCTACAGTTCAAGAGAAGGTTGGGACCAAGGCCGAAAACACTCTCTTGCATCCGTGTTCCTCTTAAAATCGTAGCCGCTACAATTCTTCTCGAGATGGCAATAAAGATACTTTCGTGACAACCAGAGAGATTTTCGGGGCAACGACTCCTATCGGGCTGGGAATGAAAGAACAACACCTAGAGAGAAAGACCGAGATAGATAGATAGATAGATAGAGACGGAAGAGAGATACATATGTTATCGTCGTACCGGAAGAAGACTACCGTACCTGAATCGTAAACAGCTCTCGCTGTCTCGCCGCCAGCGCCGCAGCCGCCGCCTTCCGTCCCTCCTCGTCTCCCGCGCCCGCTACCGCTTGTCCGTCCTTCTCCAACTCCTGCTTGAGTCGGGTCTCGCGCTCCGTCAAGGGGTCCACCGTCGAGGAATTGGCGCCCAGATGTGTTGCGATGCCCGGGCCGACGTCCTGGGGGTACAGGCGAAAGATGAAATACGTGTTGTTGCAGATGTTATGACGACACGAAAACATTGTGTTGGTTCATATCCAAGGAGTGTATCTCTGTAGGGTGACGATCCAACATGATCGAGCTGACACGGGCCAGCCAAGCAGGAAATTCGAGAGAGGGAGAGGGAGACAGAGAGAGAGAGAGAGAGGCAGAGAAACAGAGAGAGATAGAAAACTCTAGCGAACGTTCGAAATACGAGGCAAGACCAACTGCGGGTTTGCCAGATAAGTGGGGAAAGGTCATCAACCGTCGCGCGGATGAGCCACGGGCGTGAACAAACCAAGAGCTAAGAAAACACTTACCAAGGCCAACAGCGACGGACCACACCATCCTACCATCTCCGCACGCGCACCTCAACCAACTACCATCGCCTGCCTTCATACACGCACCCGCAAGGCAAGCATCGCGACGAAGCCGTTATAGCCATACCTTTGCAGCCACCTGGCGCGGGAGACCGCTGTCCACGGAACGCGCGGGGTAATACACGCCATAGCTTGCCGTGTAGTCTTGCCCTCTGCCCGCCGCCGCTGCGTTCGTCTGCTGCCCCCAACGCGCCGCACTGGCAGGACCGCCCTCGTCCCTCGAGAAGGGTTGTTGTTGCTCCACCGCTGCTATGCTAGGTTGCGGCGCAGCAGCAACAGCAGCTGTAGTAGAAGCAGCGGTATCCCCATCGCGCCGTAACCCGGACACACCGCCGATGCCGTCACCGCCATCCTCGGGGATATCCGCTCTCCCGCCCCGGCTGTCCGCCGCCGTTGCCGTCGGGGGGGTGGCCGCCGCCGTCGCCACCGCCGCTGCCGCCCCCTGTTGCTCCGCCGCGTCGGCCGCTTGCGCCGCAGGCGGCGACGAGAGCTTACCCGGAAGGGAGGAGCTGTTGCCGGCGCCGCCGGTAGGAGGCATGCCCGGAGCGCGTAGCGGGGCCAGCACCCCGCCGCCGCCGCCCCCGCCCCCTGGAAGAGGGTCGTGAGACGTCGGTGATGACAACGGCCGAAGAACGTCGTTCATGGACCCGTGCTGCTGTGGCTGGGAAAGGAAAGCCGAGTGGTCGGCCTTGCTCTGGTCCATGTGCTGGACGAGCTTCCGGTACGTGGCGATTTGTCCCTTGAGGGCCTCGAGCTGTTGGGGGCTGAAGATATAGGGGGGGTGCGCCTGGGAGGAAGAGGGTGGCTCCGCGGCCGCACCGGCTGCGTTGTCGTTGCTGTCGGTGTTGGTGGCGTCCGCGATGCCTCCGTTGCGGGCCTGTTGTTGCGCTTGCTGAGGAGGAAGCTGCTGCTGCTGCTGCTGCTGCTGCTGAAGGGCCGCTAGTTGTTGCTGCCGATGCTGCTGAAGCTGCTGCTCCCTTGACAGGGGCTGACGACGAGCCTGCATGAGCTGCTGCTGCTGCTGCCGCTGAAGCTGCTGCTGCTGCTGTCGCTGAAGTTGCTGTTGCTGCGCCTGCTGTCGCTGGAGTTGCTGCTGCTGCTGCTGCTGCTGCTGAAAAGCAAGCGGCTGCTGTTGGTGATGCCCTTGGGCCTGCGTTGCCTCCTCCTGCTGGGCATAAACCTGCTGCTGCTGCTGCTGCTGCTGCGTGTGCCGCTGCTGCACGTGTCGTTGCTGCATTGGCACGTGATAGCGCAAGTCGCCTGGGTGCTGGCTGTAACTCCGCTGGTCAGGCTGTGCCTGGGGCAGAGAGGGGTGCAGAGTGCGGGGTGCGCCACGTTGATGACACTGCTATCGGTTCGATGGTACTTCTATGTAGAGGGACAGATTCAAAATTCGCCTTTGGTACAACATCATAACGTATCCAATGTGCACCATACCGTAACGTAACCAACCATGCCATCGGACTATCAGCATGGTGCAACCCTTCAAACCTGCTGGCTCTTTCCCGGACTGAAGGTCCGCAAGCGACCGTTGCCCCATGTGTAGTGGAGACATACACTCTGGCTGATACGCGCGAAAGATGCATGAGCGGGACATCCCAAACCTGTAGCAGTTATACCAACCGATCCGGGTAATACATACCACATGCATGGAGACGACTGAACGCGCGCCAGGGCGCCAGACCCTTGTGCTACATATCCTTCCTGCGCCTGCCTGCCAGCCTGCCTGCCTAACTTCCTGAACGTAAATGGCGCGTTCGCCGTGCGGTTCGTGTTTTGCGCCGCTCCCAGCAGCACAAACGACAGGGAGCTTTTAGGTGCTGCTGCAGTGCAACGCTGTACAACCCAGTTCGTGCCCATCACCTCGTAGTGCTCCGAGTGCTGTTGGTGCGGCTGCTGTTGCAGCTGTTGGTGTTGTCTAGCCTGTTGCTGACCGCCAAAGAGCTGCTGGGCCGACACTCCCAGCTGCTGCTGCTGCTGTTGCTGCTGTTGCTGCTGCTGCTGCTGCAGGCTGCGTTCTTCCATCCTGCTTGCCCGCTTCGGAAGGCCCAGGAGCGACGCCAACACAACGCCCCTTTTCGATCTCGCAACCACGCGAAAGCCTGTAAACCGCGACCCCCGCTAGTGCTTGGCTCTTTGCATGCGTTGTTCAACTCGTGCGTCCCGCGCGAGGCAGGCCGATAACTCCACCACCGCCCTTATTGTGTCGTACACCCTGAATCTGCCGAGAATGGTCCCCCCCCCCCGCCCAAAAGAGCGAAAGAAAGGAATCCACGGGGCACCCCGGAGACCGCACACACCACAGCCAGCCGAGCCCTGACAATAACCTATCGCAATTGTACGGAGAACAGGCAGGATTCCACTGCTGTTTGGTTGTTAACCTTGCGAGTGGCCAACGAGCTACAGTAGTACGCAACGCACACGAGTTATCCCATGGCGACGGCGACTCGAAGACGGCGACAAGGCTCGGCAGCAATCCTTGCCGGTGTGTGGCTCTCTTGTGCGGCAACCGGGTTTACCCTGCCGCCAACAACGCCAAGAACAGGGCGAGCAACAGCGGGCGCCAGGGATGTGCGCCAGGCCACACCTGCAGCCGAGCCGCCTCGCGCCGGGCGGCCGCTGTTTGCCGATAGCAGCAGCGACGGCAGCACAACCGTGGCGACCCAGCCGAAAAGGAAGAAGGTTGTGAAGCCTTGGTTCACCAAGGCTCAGGAGACGGTCGACTACAGCAACGTCGAGGCTATGTAAGTGTGTCCATGCCGTTGTGAGTTGTCAGCAGGTGACCGGTATGTCTGAGCGTGCGTGCATGTACTGCTGTACTGCTAGCTTTGGTCTAGAGGGCCGTCGTGTGGTTATCCTCAACTGCCCGTCTGAAAGGTTACTGCAACATGCGGAGGTGCAACATGCAACATGAACAGACCACCAAGAACACGGCAGCAGGGTGTCACCCGCCCAAAATGCACCAGTCAGAGAGACAAGACACACAGAAAGAGAGTACTATACAACAGGGTGGGAGAGAGTTCTCACTTCGATAGGAGATTCTTGCGGGGATCAGCCACTACTGCTGTATTTTATCGCATTTTCTTGCCCCTTCCCCCTCCTCCACACGCTCGTTCCAAGTTTCAAGAAGATGACACGACCCGATTGGGGCGACTGGCGTAGAGTTTGGTACTTAGATATGGTAACCCCACCATCACGTGGGGACGGTGGACAGTTTTCCCTTGTGTATGTGGGCGACACAGGTTGACATTTCCATTTTCACCCTACGGTCGACACGTCGACACCCCCTGGGCTGGGAGGCCAGCCCTGTATGCTTAGTGCATCTCGACCGCTGGTACTTGGATAGTGACTCCTAGTCTCAGTTGATACTTCGCATAGCGCGCAGAGGGAGTGGAGGATTCCAGAATATCTGTCGTTGATTTCTATTGACTTGCGGACCCCTCGGGGCCAGTTTATTTGAGTGTACCTTTTTAGGGTAAGTTAACCTGTGACCACGGGAATCGACCGCGTCGAGTGTTGGATCAGTACGGACATACGAAGGTACTGGGTAGAGAGAGATCGAAACGGTTTTTAATGTGAAGACAACAACAACAACAACAACAAACTTGTACACCCCGAACTGCCCTTCACGTGTACGGCGGTTATTCCATGCTGGGCGTTGTATGGGGCACTACATTCGTACTACGCAATGGTATTCCGTGTGCCGCGTATTCTTGATGCCAAGCACCCGATGTCTAGACGACACCCCCACCTTCTTTTCCCGCTATCTGTAAGACTGACTCTTTCTCATCGGTCAGCCGGTCAGCTCGGTCGATGCGGACTCATGCAGCATGCACACACCTTCGATGAGAAGGCGTATTTGCATTTTTTTATCCCACTGTATCTATATGACCGACATGTTTGCATTGGTCAACCCGGAAGTGCGATGCTATTTCAAACACACACACTCGAGCCCTTTAAGGCCTTCTGGAAACGCTTCACGTCTTTTTGCCGCACTGAGACTTGTCGTATTTTCGTTGGTCAACCGGTTGGCGCGGTCGATGCTAATGATATAAACACGCACACACCTCATACGACAGGTACGTCCGGCACATCCTGGTCCAGACGGAGGGCCTGGCGAAGACTTGCTTGGAGCAGATCAGAGAAGGGGCGGACTTCGGAGAGCTCGCCTCGAGCATCAGCGACTGCCAGGCAACACGGGCAAAAGGGGGAGAGGTAAGTGCACCACAAACGATGTTCAGTATGAGGCAAGAACCGGAGTCGATCTTTGTGGGGAGGAGTGTCCAGTCTCGAGCCGTAGTAACTCGCAAGCAAACATGGTTCGCGATATTGGGCCGCGCTCCTGATGCGGTGTGCGAAAGTCAGCAGTCGTTGGGGGGGGGGGAGCGTACTCATGTTTGGCATGCCTTAGCGGTTAGACCATCGACCACGCGTCCTTGAGAGGACCGACGGGGGAGGGGAGGTGGGGCGAAAATGACTGCCGTGGGCGTATTTTCGTGATGGTGAAGTTACACACGCCAGCAGGCCGAATGAATGCGAAACGGGTTTGGTTTGCGCGAGGGCGTCGAGGTCGACTCACGTAGCCCCGATGGAGAAAGAGTTTCGACGCAAAGTAGATGGTGTTTCGAGATGGTAGGCAGTGG